AACGGACGAACAAGGCAAGGAAGTGGCTGGTGATTGGATCGTGGGAGGAGACGCTGCCGGAAGAGTTTGCGTTTGTGTTGCTGAAGCTGTTGGACATTCAGCTACGGAGGATTCAGAATTTGGTATAAGGTCGTCGCTGTGGTGAAGATTAGTGTCGTTGTTTGTTTGTTCAGTCTGCGTCGAGTCCATACTGTTGGTGTCGGCATGAGAATCTGCTATGCTTTCTGAATTTTCTAGAGTGTGGTTGTCAGCTGTTTCATCTGAAAGATCGGGTTTTGACTGCAAGGAAGAGGAGGCAGCGGTCACGGCAGCAAAGGTTGGGTGAGCAGGGGAGGTCGAGGACGCATCAGTTATGGAGGTTAAAGAAGAGGGATTCCCGCAGTATGAAAAGCATATGTTTGCAAGTGTTTGCGAAGATCCCTCCCATTTGCGGAAATCCTGAAAACACGTGGTCAGAAGTTATTTTGCCACTCTGCATCCTTTGCTTGGGCTCTCATCTTCTCCTAGGATCCTTGAGATGGTGTGTAGACGTATGGTTTGCCACAATACTCTTCCTTTCAGTTTCTGATAGCATTTGACTGTAGGCCTGGCATTACGACCGTCCACAACTAACTGTACGTGCTTCACCAGGAAAGTAACAGACAGGTGCTGCTGAGCGCTCCAATCGAGTTGGTACTGAGTCCATGAGAAATTCTAGTTCTTTTCGAGCCTCCTGAGCTGGACTTGGCAAAGGCAGTTCTTTTGGGACAAGCTCTTTCTGTTTATAGCCGCTCTTTCATCCTGGTCCAAATTTAGCAATGCATCAGTGTCTACTTCTGTATCGCTAGAGATGCTATCGCCAGACACAACGAGAAAACTCCATAATCGTAATGCTCTGATGCTCAATCAATCAATATCCGCTGGACCCTACACTTGTAGGCCGTACCCGAAAACTTACTTCATAAAAACTGAAGTGTTATGCAGCAGAGAGACCAAAGTGATAATGTAAATGCCAGGCTGCAATGGAGTTTGCGAATCCAGGAATCACAAATATCGCACATGTGGAGAACCCCTCGATAGGCTAGGCTGCCCGTCTCTGGGTCATCCCTCAACTACAAAAAAAGTAGGGTTCCCTGTAAAAAGGCGCTGACGCCTGTTGGTAATTCCCTAGTAAAAGAAGAATAAATAATAATAATAATAAATAAAGATACGCACGTTTGACCATGGCCCTGCCCTGCTCACTGCGGACGACGCCAGACCGGACATCAAGGCCAGGGGGTTTTGGTCGGTACAGACTGATGCATTTTTTGATGTAAGGGTGTTCTATCCCAACGCACAGTCGTACCGATCTCGCCCGCTGGCTGAGGTGTTCCAATGGCACGAGCGTCAGAAGCAGTCGGCATACGGTGCCCGGATCCGGGAAATTGAGCACGCGTCGTTCACCCCGATCGTCCTGTCTTCTGCTGGTGCCCTGGCGAAGGAGGCCACCCGGTTCCTGAAGCTGCTCGGAACGAAGCTCTCCACCAAGCTCTCGCAGCCTTATCCCCTCGTGATGGGAAAGCTGCGGACGGACCTGGCTTTCAGCCTTGTCCGCGACTCCGTCCTGATGGTTCGTGGGAGTCGCCGTGCATTCCGTGCACCTGGTCTGGCGGCTGATGTGGATGCTGTTTCTTTGGAGGCCCGCATTCCCGCCACTACGTGACGCTAAGTCCTCCTGGGGTTTGCCGCTCTCCGGTCCTCTTTCATCCCGTTCTCCCCTCTTTTTTGGGGATTCTTTGTACTTCGTCTTTCTTGTTCCTTTGTTTTTTGTAGGACAGATTTTTGGTGTACTGATCAGTTCGGTCGTTGTTGTGTCTGACTCTATTCCCAATATTTAATTCTGTGGTTGGTTTTCCAACTCATTGGGTTGTAGTTTCCATCATGAGTTTGATTCCATCGTAAGTTTGATTCCATCGTGAGTTTTGATTCTATTTGCTATTTTTCGTTCCATTTTTGAGCTCATATTTTATTTTCCTGATTTCTTCTCCAGTGCATGTTGTATTGCGTTTTAATACATTGTGTTAATTTTTGCCCGTAAAAGAGGCTTGCACCATTTAAAAAAATAAAATAAAATAAAATAAAAAATAAATAAATAAATACATGGCCAGACAACAACGAGTTCATGGAATTTTTAAGGATTTTTATGTTATTCAAAATCGATTTTCGTGTTCCGCTCATCAGTGAATGTCCCCCCGGTGCTGGGATCCACCATGGGATCCACGGTGCCGACTGTGTCTGGACAGAGAGGGAGATCATCGACAAACCAAAATGAAACCAATATCCTCACCCATAGACCCAGAAGAAGCACAGCAAACTATTCACTTGAAATTTATGCACGGAATGGACTTGGCCCACGCAAAATGGACAATGGAAATGGGTGTGCAGTAGCAGAGAACCCAGCAACGGTGACGCGGAGCAGCGGTCAAACGACTTGTGATGCTGGTGGAGATGATGGAGCCATGTTGGAGGCTGATAAGGAGTGCAGTGAGACTGAGCATCAAACGGATGATGAGGAAGTGACTGATGATGATGATGGTGGTGATGAGGACGATGATGATGAAGATGAGACGGAGGACGAGGATAGGGCGGAGGAGGTCGAAGGAAAGGAGCGGGATGAGACGGAAGAGAGCGACGTGAGCAAAAAGTCAGCTGTATTTTGTCACTTGTTGTCACGTCCAGATTGTCTTAGTGTGTACGATGATTCTCACTTTTCTGTTTTGTGCCGTGCAAGTTATGTTAAGCAGTTGAAGGTTCTGGAAGCTGTATGCATTCGTGTGCATAATCCTGTTCTTTGTAAACAAAAGAAGCACGTAGTCGCGCTAAAGTTGTTCTCGTAGCTGGTTATCAGATGTAAATGTTGTGTCATGTTGCACTGTATCACCTCTTGCTTTGTGGCTGCACTCAGTTATATACGTTAGCACTATGTTTGACACCTATTATGCAATGCTGTAGCACTTCCTTTGTTGTTCACACTTTTAATTAATTATGCTGTTATAAAATGTTCTATTTTTGTACACAGTACCCTCAGTTCCGATACTATTCACTGATGAGCGGAACACGAAAATCGATTTTGAATAACATAAAAATCCTTAAAAATTCCATGAACTCGTTGTTGTCTGGCCATGTCTGCATCGATTATACTCCTAATTGCACTAATAAAATTGCTTTCTCCACGCCGACTCTTTAAATAAATAAATAAAGATATTAATAACAACGATACGAAGCCTAGCCTCGAACTACAGTAGTCGAAGGGCGAAGGAAGTTTCCAGAATCACTGCTGGACCATCAACATCCCCATATGGCATGATACGGCCTGTACTCTTGATCAGGTTTGCACTTGGTCCGCTAGACACGTGCATACCGGGAATCCTTTTTCGCACAGTAATACAGACTTTACAGTGCAGTACCTCTAGCTCTATGATTTCTTCTTCTTCTTCTTCTTCTTCTTCTTCTTCGGTAACTACAAGTCATAATAAATATGAAAATGACTGTGAGAGTACAGTGTACATGTAGTAGAAACTTAGATCAGTTTCTCCAGTTGCAAGAACTGGATAGCTTCTGATGGTTGTGTGAGAATTGCCTCCCTGACTGATGTGAAGGTACATAGACGTGTACCTGCTCGACTGCTGTGTCTGGCAGGGCAAGCTAGCAGGAGTTGGGCAGCATCATCAACTGTTCCAGGACAGTGAGTGCAGTCACTGTCCTGGAACAGTTGATGCTGGATTCGGCGACCCTCACCTTCCCGTGGTGAATCCGTCAGGAGACTAGGCCTCGGTCTAGACCTGCCAAGCGAGGGTCAACCTCCGGTCCACTTGCTGGACTGGATAGCTAATGATTTCTTCAAAACCCCTACCACAATGAATAAGTTAAGGGCAAGAAGTCACAAGAGAATAGCTAGACTAGAGGGAAAGAGAATATTATTATTATTTATATATATATACGCACTCCCGCGTTGAAGTGTAGCAGCAGTATGCTGCGTCCACAGCTTCGCTTATGCAGAATGGCTTGGATGAGAGATAGGGACCGGCGGATTCTGCTCGAAAAGGTGGCAGATTCTGCTCGAAAAGCAGAAAAATTGGCAGAACCATATAAACCTTATGGCGGGCAATTCCTCGAATTCTGCTCCATTTCTTTTCCCACTTACCAAACATGCATGAAACTTACCAGAAAAAGTACCGAATTCTGCCAATTTTTCTGCCGGCAGAATCCGCTGGACCCTAGTGAGAGGAGAGGGGAGAGAAAGCAACACGGCAACCAACATCTATGAAATAGGTCACAATAGCATGAAGAGAACCAACCTAGATATGCATGATTGCACAAGAATGGAGACGACAAATGGCTATCATCATTGTGCCACAAAACCGGTACACAGGAGATCTGTCGACAATGATGTAACGGAACATAAAACTCAGTTACTCAATACAGGTTCCACTAAATTACAAGAGAATAAGAGAGAAGAGCTAGAGGGAAAAGAGAAAACCAAAGTCAAAGAGGAGTCCAGATGGAACGGGAAAAGGAAAGACAAGGATCGACATTGCATATTGACAGGATCGACTTTGAAAGGATCGGTCGCGCTGTTGAACTAACTTGATTACCATCATGGTTCAGGATTCTTTTCGGCATCCTCCGGGGCCGCGGGGGCCGGGGGGGGGGGGGCCGTGTACGCGTGCGGTTTGCGTGGGGTAGCTACACTACGCGGCACGTGTACTGGCATTTACCGTATATTATGTACATGGTCCGCGTACCGCGATCGCCGACGCGTCGCAACGAACGCCGCGACATGCATACCTGGTATGCGACGTTTTGATCACAGATCCATGCAATCGCCACGGGGGCCGGCCGTTGTCTTCTGTAGTACAGGCGTGACCAGTTCGGGAACCTAGCAAACCTTGTCACGGTGGCAGGGTACCTAGGCCTAGCTAGGGTGCACAGTTCAGCGATGCGTACCATCAGCAAGGACCTTCATTCGCGTCCCGGATCCCGCAACCCCCTTTTTTGTGGCTTGCAAACTTGCAGGACGCGCAGAACCTTTGCTTGCCAGTTTGTTGCTGCTTCGTTCTCCGGACCACAGCATTGCAAATGCAGTTGCAATGACCACCGCCTGCCCGTATCCACCATTGCGCGGCGGAGTGGCAGAACGCGCGCCGTGTTGCACACACATCTGCCACTACTAGTACTTTGTTCGTGGCCGAAATTGGTGCATGGAGTCCCATAATCATCTCAGTGAGTTTGTAGTTTGAATTGTAATAGTTCAAAGACGACGCCTGTCTGAGAAGCTTTTCTCGGCTGCATCACGATCGAATGACAATGCCTTTACCGAGTGACAGCAAATCGTGGAATCTTCCCGGCAATGCGAACAACAACAACAATCAGTCTACTTCGCCCCCCTCAATAAAGCAAGTGGAGAAGCAGGTGAGATATTCTGACAAACAAATGATACTGACAGCATAAAACCTGCCCATTATATTAGCTGGATTAGTCTAACATATCAGTGTACATACAGGGTTCAAAACGCCCCCCTACTCTGATAGCGGACCCCTACTCATTGTCAAATGTTGTGTTTTCAAAACGTATTTATAGAGGGGGAGGGGGGGGGGGGGGCATCCTGCAGCTTCATAACTCAAAGAGAAGTGGTGAGCCGACATGCTCTTTCCCTGAACATTGCTAATTCACAACTCAGTTCACTGTATCATTATGGATGTTGTGTTTTTCGGTTCACACAATGAGATTGCGGCCACAACTCGGGTTGCATTGTGCCGCTGCGTTGCAAGCCTGACTTGGATGGAAGCCTACAACACTGATATTGCTTGCCATTTGAGACTTGACCGGTGCAGGCCGCACGCAGCTTTTCAGTTGCTTAGTGAGTGACTGCATACAAGCTACTGGTATTGTCACTGCAGACCTCACTGTCATATCCATGTAGCTTTCGCCAGATGACCAGTCTGGCTGATCAGCATGCACATGTATGTAAAGCCGTCCATGGGTGGGTGCAAAAAAGCATTGGTGGTAGATTAACATGACTGTGTCACGTAGGGCTGGTTTGGATGGTGCAACCTAAAGCAGGATTCACCAGGACAGTGCGTTTGGTTTGAACTGCAGCTGCTCTGGATCGGCCAGAACATGTTCTGCTTGCTCTGGTTTCAAGGCTGGAGCAGCCAGAGCAGTTTTACTTTTTCAAAGTGAAGCCTGGCGGGAACATCGATCTTGGTCCAAAATGATCGCGTGCATATGCTTTTGGGGTTGCACTTGGCATGCACTCGTTGTACCGTACAAAGTGACCATGGTGACTCGTGCACATTTTGGCAAATGCAAACAAGTCTGGCGCACTTTTGACATGAATGTTCTCTCTCTCGATCGATCGAGTGCCGTTTGGCGTGAGGCTGTTCCATATACAGCAGCTTTTCGATCCTGTTCTAGATCGTGCCGACCAAACATGTCCGCTGGCTGAACGATAATGTCCAGCTCCAAAGAAAGGGAGTTCTGGTTGAAAATTTCGTTTGGGACCATAGACTGCACTGGAAAGCTGGACAAACTGACATGAGTCCGGCATCTAATTTATTTTGCGAAATTTAACTCGCATTTCCGCACGCTGTTGCATATGGTCCCGGATCCCACTGAGCTGTGTTGTCTAGTCTGATGCCATATATGGTCTAATGTGCTTATGGGTATGGTGTGGGGAGGGACTAATATGGTGCGCGGTACATGCAAGAGTACACGGTGTGAATGGTGTGATGTGTGACGAATATGGTCAAGAGTAAACAACCCCCCAGAGAGTGCAACGCCTGATCCAGCTCTGCATATAGACTGTGAGCCAGGCACCGAAAATCCTGTTAGAATTTTTTTTCGTTCCGACCTTGAGCGTACCGCAATTTTTTCCCCAGTTCGTTTCATCTACTCGACTAGATACGAATTCAGCTTGTTGTCACTTCCAAATCAGGCACGAACATGCCCAAATAGAAGGGAGAAACTACTTTGACCAAATCAATAGCCACCATCGACAAGAACCAAGGTCACAAGAGCTGGAGCGGTCTCCTGTTGCACCACTGACCTCGCAAAAATGTACGGTGGTGCAAACCCAGCCGCATCATGACGATGTTTTTTCGTGGTTTCTATAGTATTGTGTGCAGTGCTAGTGCAGCGCAGTGGCAGTACGAACATCATCATGTCCATCATATCAGTGTCCTAGCATGCTTGCTGCTGATCAGTCAAGCTAAACTAAAGGTTTTTGTAATCTGTTGGAGCAGAAATACATGTAGAACGTACAATGTACCTTATCTCCGGAGAGCTAATAACTGTTTCGATCTTTTATACTGAAGTGCTTCAGACTATGATTAACATGAATATGCATGTATCTTTCCGCTTGTGTTCTGTACATACAATGGGTAATGTTTCAAAATAATTAATTATAATTCAAACGAGAGAGCTTGGAAGCTCAGGGCCCTACGCTATGCTTTTTTGCCTTGATAACCTAGACAAAAAAAAGCATAGGGATGTTATAAATTCTTTAAAAAAAATCCTTTTTTTTAAGACATAACCTGCAGCCTGGGATTCGAACCCGCACTATCGCGCGCCCTGCATGCATCCCCCGATACACTTCGCATACATACTAATTCTTCCAAGTTGTTTCACATTGTGATCTTGCATTTGAAAGCCCTATTTGAATATGCATTGTGGCCAGCCGTCTTTGATTGCACGGTACGGGACAGGTACGATCGAGGGTAATACGACACCGTCTAGCTGCCCGCAATATTCAAATAGGGCTTTCAAACGCAAGATACTAGGGAGGTTTAGTTCCCACGTAACGGAAACGCGTACGTGGGTGATCCACGTAAAGTGGATGAAGGGCACCCACGTTGCAATGTTGTGTTTAGTCACACGGAACAAACAAAAGCATGAAGCTAAAGGCCAAAACCTGGTCAAAGACGAAGCTACCCCGGCCTAAGAAGCTCATCGAATATTTTGATTTCGTGCTTCGGAAACTTCTTCAGCTGAGCACCCTCACAGCTCGCACAATGCGCTCCATTCTGATTTTCACCCACGTTCTGGCGGAACGTGGGTGAGCCTCCATACACGGTATGTCGTGAATCAGAAAACGTCTGTACGTGGGTCACTGAGTATCACGTGGTACACACACACGTAAAGTACCCACGGATTACGTGGGACTAAACCTCCCTAATAACGTGAAGCAACTTGGAAGAAAAAAATAGGAGAATTGAAAAATTTATAACATCCTATGCTTTTTTGCCGTCAGATATGGATAGCGCCAGGCGTGACACAAACAAACAAATACCAAATTAAAGCTGTGTGGACCCTGGCTAGCGCCAGACGTTACTGAAGTAACGTCTTCTGCATAGCTACGGGAATAAACTACAGATCTGTAGCTACCAGTATACTGTAAATCAACAAATTTTGGCCGGTGAGAAACTTTGGCCGATCTCGAAATGAAACTTTTGGCCGTCATTTAACTTTGGCCGATTTGGGTTTTCAAAAAAGAAATCGATTGGTATTTGTTGCCCTCACATGCAGCCATGGCTCAATAATGCATCATTTGCCTCTATGACAAATTTTGGCCGGCGATTTACTTTGGCCAGTTGGTACCAAGCGGCGAAATCAGCGAAATTAAATCGCCAGCGAAAATTAGTTGATTTACAGAGTACCCCCCTGTGGTCCTCTAATGTTACTGGTTACGGTCATTGCTCTACCCTTTGCACTTATAAGTTAGGAAGCAATACAGCAGTACTTACGAAGTACAGTCAGACCTCGCTTATCCGGTCTTCGTTTATCCGGATCCCTTGCCATCCGGAAGAAAATCGCTGGTTACCGATGTGCAGCATATGTTATGCATACAACATAACCGGACCTCGCGATCCGAATACCGGTGCTTGATTTTGTGTACAAACTGGTTGAAATGTGTACAAAAAGCTTCGTCGTATCCGGTTGCATGTGCCTTGCAGAAGCTAGAATCAGGGAGTTGTACAGGCAAATGAGGTCCTTGACCTGCTGGGTACATGTACATGTGGACAGCACTCAGTTGCATGCACTTGTCATTCTTCTCGCTTGTTTTACATACTGTGCATGCTAGTTGTACTGCATAGGACCCATATACATGTATGTATGATGTCACTGCTTTTGACATGCCACATGCATATACAGTATGTGTGTTCAGTTATCCGGTTACCTCGCCTATCCGGATATTTTTGTGGAAAACAGATGTGTGCGGTTAAGCGAGGTCTGACTGTAACGTTACATTGATCAGATATATGAGTGCAAATATACAAATCCTGTATCCAGCAACTTCTTTGACATTGTTCTGCCGTACTGTACATGTATATACTATAGAGATGTAGAGGGTGAAATGAGCATTGCACCGGATTCTCCTGGCTGTTGTTGATGGTCTTTTCCAACCGTTGTCCGGAGAATTCGCTGCTGCTGGGCTTTGTATATTGAATGCCACCTGTTTGTTCTGTACATTATCATTCCTGAAATGCATTTCGTGGTTGTCGGCACCATTTCATGTGCACTTACCTACCAGTGCATCGTCACTTCAAGTAATATTTAAAATGTGCACGTACTTTATATAATGCACTTGTGCGCAATTCTATAGTTTTTGGCTCGTATAATTATTTTAACCCAGCTGAAATGACGCTTGATATACATTTCTTCGTCCAGTGCCGTTGCCTGCTGAAAAAAGTAAGAAACACCTTCAAAATAGCATGTTGCTATGTCAGTTGCTATGTAGTTGCTATGGAAATGGGGTATGTTAAGATAATTGCTTATTTTGACTTCCCTGCAAGCTTCTCAAACTGACAACAATCAAAAATGATCTTCTATTAGGTCTCTCCACATGCTAAAAGAACAAAATCGCGGTACACCCAAAGTGGGAACGAAAATCATGAATTCATGTACTTGGCTCACAGTCTAATAGGGTCTTGGTCGAGCGTAATCGTATATCATAATACCGTACACATCTGAGGAGAACCCAGGGAGTCGCGGGTACTCTCGGATCAAAAACAATGGTGCCCTGCCTCGAGATCGGCCTTGCGCTGGTGTGGAGTGTACGCATGACATCAGAAGATCCGATTCCGCTCGACCAAGACCCTATGCAGAGCTGGATCGGAGTTGCACACTCTGGGGGGTACTCTTGATATGGTGTGTGGTGACATGTAAGAGTACGCGTTGTCAGCTGGTGTGAGATTTTCCTTCCGTCTGTGAAAGTGAGTTTGTCAACTAAATTTTGCGTATGCGTAGTTTATGCTGTGGTGCCCTGAGCCGCTTGACCTCCGACTGGATTTCCATGTCCACGACAGTACATGTTTAACTATCAAGCAAGGCTTGCATTATACCAATCACTAGTCGGTCTAGTTCTCCTGCCATACTTCTATCTAAAACAGTGTTCTAGATAAAGCTGCTCGCTCACCCACGCACTTTCTCTACGTGCGTGTCTGTGTGTCTGTGCCTGTGGGTGTCTGCAGGTGGGTCTGTGTCTGCCTGTGTCTATGCGTGCCTGTGTGTGTGTGTGTGTGTGTGTGTGTGTGTGCATGCGCTCGCATTCGTCTCTATGTGCATGTGCTCGCATTCATCTGTGTGTGTGTGTGTGTGTGTGTGTGTGTGTGTGTGTGTGTGTGTGTGTGTGTGTGTGCGTATGTGTGTGTGTGTGTATATTATAATTATGTGTGCCTATGCTTTCATGCGGACGTGTGCCCGTTTTGACTTTGGCCGGTGCAGATCTCCTGGCATTTTGACATGTGCCGATTTGCCGAGCGTCTTCGCAAATACGAGGCCATTTGGAATGTGAAGTGTCGCGACTATGGCAACCGCGACAAGCGCAAAGCCCAGTTCAAAGCCCTTGGCAATGAATTTGGTCTGACCGGTGAGTCGGAAATTGCTCGGCATGTATGGCCGTTCTCAATGAAGCACACTAGCATGAATTAAAATTATAGAGCTGGTGGACAAGCCATCGGCTAGCCATTCTCATTTTCAAAATAAAATCCCTATGAGGAAACGTCTGGAAAACGTATCGTAACAAGTCTCTATCTCTGTTTGCCACATGTACCACTCTTGGTCTGGAAACGGATTTTTGTCATGCGTGTTTTCGTTTTTGTTCTCGTCGTTGTGAACTGTTGTTGTGCACCGTCGTCTTCTTTACAGCTGATAGCGTGGAGTGCAAATACCACAGCATGCGAACATACTATGTGAAACAGAAGAAGAAGACGCAGTCGATGTTCAAGAAAGCCGGCAGCAACAGCAGCCAATCATCATCCGATGCCTTCACACCAGTCTGGCCGCCGTACAAGTTGCTATCGTTCCTGGACGACACCATAGACCAGCGCGCGCCGAAGGACAGCTCTCACACGCTGGAGCTGGTCGACACCTCCATGCCGATGGATCAGTGCGACAACGGCTCGGAGAACACGGAAATCGACCCGTGCGAGGTATGCATTCTGTCACCGGTGCCGCTAATGCACTCGCAGTCCTTGCCAGTTCCACTGACGCCCATCGACACGCCAACAATGCCGCCGTATCGCAGCGGCGGCGAAGCAACCGAGGGAATGACGACAACACTGGGCAGACGATGCGGATCCAAAGTACGGCGGGAGTCGCAATCAGACGACTGCGGTGGCGGTAATTTCTTCACGTTCGATGACGACGGGAGCATTGTGCATGCTAGTCGAGCCAAACACGCCAAGATCGAGCCCGACGTGGGTGCGTTCGTCCAGATGATTGGCCATCAGCTAAACTCTGTGCGTCATCCTTTGCGCCGCATGCAGATCATGCACCGGGTGCAGGGTATCGTCGTCGAGGAGGTGCTGCGTGGATCGCCACCACCGGCCGGAGCTCCGGTCCAGTCACCACCCACAGCCATGTCGCAGGCGTCATCTCTGTACCAGGCACCGGGCGGCGCATACCTCGTGCGTCATGGCAACACCTCGCAGCCCACCTCCATCCTGACGGCGCCGACGTCGACATTCGTACCGTCCATACCGATGCCGGTGATGCGTAATCACTTCCCCGGCTCGGCAGCCGGCGCGCGTCCCGGTGGTCCGTCGGCCGAGTCTCACGAGCCAGCCTCGCCGCTGCACAGCCCCACGGAAACGGTTGCCATGGTGTCAATGCTCTCGGTGGACGCGCCCCTGGTGAAGGCGCAGGCGGGCGTGGCGGCGGTCATGCCCTCGTTCTCGCAGCGCGGCGGCATGCACCGTCCACTCAACGTTGCCGTGCCGACGAGCGGTAATCAACATGGCAGTGCCATGCACAAGACATTCCCATCAGCTCAGCACCGGCAACAGCAGCTGCAGCAGCACCATCGTCATCATCACCATCATGGCATGGCCGCGCCAGCATCAGCGTCAAGCAACAATGGCGGCCGAACGGGCAACGGACACCAATCCCAACGTGGCGGCCACTTGTCTCGACGTAACGTCAGTGACACACAGGCCCAGCAGCAGCAACAGCAACAGCAAGAGCAGCACTCCGAGGACCGTGATGTTGATATAAACGTTGTACAGAGCTAGCCGCTGGCGAAGGTTTTGTGTGGTCCCGTGTGGATGCCATGCGGTGTCTTCGCTGCCTCGCTGTGTACCCTGCAGTACTGCTGCGTAGTGCGTGAGAGGTTTGTGCTGCGATGTGTGATGTGTTTTGTCCAGGTTGACATAGGAGAGAGTGAGTGTGTGTGTGTGTGTGTGTGTGTGTGTGTGTGTGTGTGTGTGTGTGTGTGTGTGTGTGTGTGAGAGAGAGAGAGAGAGAGAGAGAGCGAGAGAGAGAGAGCGTGTTTTTGTGTGTTGGTGTTGGTGTGGTAGACAGACAGACAGACGGACTGTTTGTGTGTGCGCTTGTATATCTCTGCGTGTGTGTGTATATCTGCGTGTGTCTGTCTGTCTGTGTGAGAGCGGATGTGTGCGGGTGCGTGTGCGCGGGCGCATGGCTGTCCATGCTTATATTATCTTATTCCGACCCCATGTAATGCAGTAGAAGAACACTGCCATTACTCTACTAGGCTAGCGCACACAAGAATACGTACAACTACTAGTCTATAGACTTCTGCCTAGGTCTTTCAAACCTGTAGGGCTGTCTCACTTTCCTACCCTTTTCGTCACACTCTTAGCCAACTCACGCAGACCACTTGTAGCCTAGCCTCTTTTTTTAATCCTTCTTATATCTAGCTCTCTTCCGTTGCACTGTAGTTCTTATTCCCCTCCCTTACTCCACCTCTCACCCCTTGCTCCGATCCCCTCCCTCTCCCACTACCTTTATGTCCCATGTTCCAGTCCCCCCTACGTCACCCCTGCCCGTATCCTATCATTCTAATCCCCCCCCCCCCCTTCGCGTCTGCACTGCACTGCCCTGCATGATGGTTCCTGGACCGGGGCTAGCCTTCCGATGCTGGAACCTCATGCACCGACTTAATATTTTGTCATTCCGCAGCGTAATACATGTATTTTATCTCTATCAAAGTACAGTGTGCTCTTGTTCCTGCGGCTCCGGGTCTGCAATGCATCACATTCATACACAGTACAGTGGAGTCGCGCGCCCAAGAACGTTGTTTCAGAGCGGTTTAGCGTGGGACGTTCTTATTTTTTTCAGCAATCTGGCTGCGTTCGTACAGCACGTTCGTAGAAACAGTGTGTACTGGTTCATTATGTATCCCACAAGCTGCCAGAAGACCAACACCGCCGTTCTTAGCTCTAGGCTGTGGCGTTCTTAGTATTACAGCCTGGACGTAATTGGGGTCCACGTTCTTCAGCGCGCGACTCTACTGTAAAACCTGTGACTAACGACCGCCCCTTGGGGCCAGAGAAAGCGGTCTTTAGTGGCAGGTGGTCCTTAGTTAGAGGTTTGCACTGCACAACTATTATTATGAATGTGAGACCGTCCGTGCCTGGCGAAGTGGTCTGTAGTACCAGGCTGGTCGCTAGTCACGGTGGTCTGTAGTACCAGGCTAGGCTGGTCGCTAGTCACGGTGGTCTGTAGTACCAGGCTGGTCGCTAGTCACGGTGGTCTGTAGTACCAGGCTGGTCGCTAGTCACGGTGGTCTGTAGTACCAGGCTGGTCACTGTTGCATGTGCTACACATGACTTGTAATTGTATGCGTTGCTTGTAATTATCATGCACAGTCATCTAGTGCCTTGCTATGCCATCGCATGACACTCCATCCATGCACGGCTTACCTGCACATGACACGCGTTCATGATCAACCAACCTATGTGGTCTAGCTTGTCATCGTATTGTACACATCCGGTTCTGGATACTTCTATCTTCTTCTACTGCTTCTAGCACCTTCCGTCCAGTTCTGATAATCTGGAGTGATTTGCATTTCTTTGTTCTTATTGTTTATGTTCCCAAGAAGTGAAGTCAGAATAGAATGCTCTCGCATGTTGTGTGTGTGTGCTCGAGATAAGTAACAAAGTTCAAGGATCGAACTTTACAGTCACTAGTCACGGTGGTCTGTAGTACCAGGCTGGTCACTAGTCACGGTGGTCTGTAGTACCAGGCTGGTCGCTAGTCACGGTGGTCTGTAGTACCAGGCTGGTCGCTAGTCACGGTGGTCTGTAGTACCAGGCTGGTCGCTAGTCACGGTGGTCTGTAGTACCAGGCTGGTCGCTAGTCACGGTGGTCTTTAGTTACAGGTTTTGCTGTACAGTAAAACCTGTAACTAAAGACCACTCTGATAATGCGATTACTTGTCCAAGTGGATCACTCAGCAACTGCCAGCTGCTGCTGCATATAACACTGACAGTATACATGGTATATGGGATGTGCTGTGCTGCATGGCCATGGATAAGGACTCGGACTGCCTCCTGTATCCTGAGAAAAAGGACACGGCCTCTTGCATCGGTCCTGAGACTACGTTTGTGTAAAGTCCCTTGAGCGGTCGCCTTAGACACGTTTTACTGTCCCCGGAGAAAATCGCGGAAAAAAATCGCAAAAAACGCGGCATAATATGGCATAATTTGCGGTGAATTTGCGGTAAATATGCGGTGAATATTATTGATATGCGGCAAGTTTGCAGTTGATACGACTATATTATGAGGCAATTTTCAGTGAGTATGTAGTGAAATCAATACAAGTCTCTGGTGTAAGCACTCGTCATAATTATTTGAGTACAAAGCCGCCACGATGAGACGTTGCTGACCGAACAGTGCACTGTGTGTACGTGAAGTGCAACAAAAAAGTTCAAAAAACGCGGTCTTTTAAAAAATCGCAAAAATCACGGGGAAAAAACGCGGTCGCGGAATCGCGACTTTCCCCGGGGACAGGTTTTATAAAGCCTAACATACCTCCCCCCCCCGGGGGTTATGTACTCTTGGTTTTATTCACTGTATTCTCATCATGTTGTGCACTGAGGGTCTCCTGGTCACGTTACTAGCTGAGTGTTCGACTACATGGGTTTGCTATTATAATGGGTCGTTGACGGCGAAAACTCACAGTACGTGGTCTATGTTTTACAGCCCCAGCCTGTTCTCGATTTTAAAAGTTATAATTATACTCTTGGTACTTACCGTAGGCTACTAACAAACTTCCAGCTCAGCAGAAAAGGAAAACAAGTGGATTTAGATTGAAGTGTTTGTGTGGACTTTGACTTTTATGCCATGGCGTACAAATGGGTGGACCATCTAAAGGAGTGGTCTAATACCGGGATTGGAAACGAGATCACAGAGTATGATCCAGGGAGTGGTAAAATACCGGTATTTTACCACTCCCTGGTATGATCCATGCCAGGGATCTAAGGAGTCATCACCATGGTCACGGCATGATATCCTGCATGCGCATTAGGGAGTCGTACCCAAGCCTGGTTCAGGCACAACTTCCTGATGTGCGCACACGCACCAGCTGACCTTCGGTGTACGTAGTGTAAAATGTACTTGCAACATGTTCGGTGACCACAAATGCAGAGTTGTACTTGCTACGGAACAGTGGGTGATGATACTCTGGACGCTCTCAGCAAAGGCAAAACAAGTGAGTATCTGTACAGGGCATGTAACGCACTTGCACCAGTTGGCCTGCTTCCAAATAATTGATTATGATAGCAAGACATCTTATCTACTTTGAAGTAACAGAGAGACAGTGGTGACCATTGTTGCTTTTCAACCATGCACAGAAAGCGGGGAAACATGGCGGCAAGGAAATTTCAGCTTGCCCGCACAAGCTACAGATGAGGGCGATGGAGAGTGGCATGAGGAAAATAACAACACTGTCCATAACTTACGTACGAGAGAAAGAGGAGTAAGATGGACATAAGTAAACCGTATCGAATCAATAATGATATATCCAGCGGGAAATGAAGGCATAGCTGAAATAAGCAACAGTGCAGTCAAAGCAACAACCATGATCCTATCATCATGATTGTGTGGCTGAACAAGCATTGGCTACGTTTCAAAGACTGCTGTGAGCAGAGCGAGCTGAGAATATGTTTGCCAAATAGTGCACAGAGGGTTGGATTGTGCATAAAAGGACGGCTTTACTACGCCTGGCAGTGGATTTCTCCAGCACTGGCTTTTTGCGCAAGCCGGAGATCATGGAAAGAGAGAAGATAGAGAGAGACAGAGAGGGAGTGTGAGAGAGAGACTCGAATAAAATAAAGCTGCACCGGTAGAGCGGCATGGCTAGCATGGACTCTGTCTCCAGCACGACGGCCAGACTGCGCCACCGATCACAGGGAGATATTTCCCTGTTTAATACTGCCGCTACCGGCAGCATCAATACGAAGCTATCAACAGTGCCGGCGACGGTGGTGGCACTGAATGCTGACAATGTTCTATCCACATACAGGGTAAACGTACATCCTACACGGTGGCGTCTGAGTCCACTCCCTTGGCCTTGTAGAACTCGCCGATCGTGCGCACGTTGGGCTCGAAGACGCCCATGAACGCCGCCATGTCGGCCATCACCTGGTCTTCGCTAGCGCCCTTGGCCAGCGCCTTGATGAAGTCCTCCCGGTACGGCACGGCTTTCATGGCCAACTGAGACGTTCGCGAGCAAATAGACACACAGTCGCACAGCAAGACGGCACAGGACATCAGAATAAGAAAGATAAGTGTAAAGGACAAGGAATGCACTACGTACATTTTGTCATATCTCAATGGGAGGCATGCATAGAAGATGGCCGTCACCTTTTTGCGGGGCAAGTTACCCCATTTTTGGCAGGCACAACCCGTTCTAGTATTTTTTGTATTTTATTATTTTACCTGGGCATTCCCAACAGACCCTAAGGTCTTTTCTTACAGGGTGCCCACTAGTACATTAATGAATATGACCTTAGGGGCCGTCCGGGGTTACCGATTGTTTTTACAAAACGAAAAGTTTTAGTAATTTTCAGCCCCCACCCACCCACCCACCTTTACTGCAAAAAAAACCGAATTCCAATCAAATATTGATGTCAATTTTCGACACCCAGAAGTAACTGGGCATTCTCCATCAGCATTCAATAATTATTTTCAAAACGAAACTCCATCAAACCCACCCACCCACAAACGAAAACATTTCGTTTTGAAAATATTATTGGTAACCTTGGACGGCCCCTTACAAAGTTCATGATCTTTTATGCAGAGTTGGTATCACAGTGTGTACGGCTGTAGTGGACTTGCTCCGTAAAACATAACGGCGGGAAACGGATGCATACGTCCTGTTGCTTCACAGCGTGAACCTAGCAATGCGTTTCAAAAGTCGAGACCTCTAGACAGGTGGTGTCCTATTGCAGTGGTGCACCTCCGGCGTGAAAGACCATGTGAATAGCATGAGCTATGGAGTGGTGTTTCACATCAGTTGGTCATGTGGCTAAATTTGTGCAGAAAGTGATCATGTCATGTGGACAGTGGGAGCCAACATGGCTGACATCATGTGACCCATAGATGCAGGGGTTGAGTGGAGTTGGAACCAACATGGCTGGATGCCCTGTATGGTCATGGATAGAACTGATGTGAAATCAGTGGCTGCGTTCGATTATGCACTTGAAACGATTCATGAATCCATTCGCATGCATTCAAGTCGTTCAATTTTCATGTCATGAGCCCTGGAATCGATTCGGAATCCATTCACCCTATTCACATGGGGTGATGTGAATGGCGCGAATCGATTCGTGAATCGATTATCGATTCGCGCGCATAATCGAACGCACTCAGTCAATACTTACAGAGAAGATGCCGGACACAATCCAGCCGTGATAGCGTTTGAGTGATGCGGCGTAGGCAGCATTGGCAGCCTTGGTCAAGTCCTGCTCGCCCTCAATAACCTTCTGCAGGAACACTAGAATGAACTCCAGCGCTCTGCAACACAAACACAGAGAGAGTGAGAGAGAGAAACAGAATGAAAAGTGCTGCTCGGTATGACAAACACCCACCTGCCACACTTTGCCCTGCCCTAATCCGGGCAAATACCCACCAGCCACACTTTCCCTGCCCTGATCCGGGCTAACACCCACATCCCACACTTTGCCCTGCCCTAATCCAGGCAAACACCCACCTGCCACACTTTGCCCTGCCCTAATCCGGGCTAACACCCACCTCCCACACTTTACCCTGCCCTAATCTAGGCAAACACCCACCTGCCACACTTTGCCCTGCCCTAATCCGGGCAAACAACCACCTCCCACACTTTCCCTGCCCTAATCTGGGCCAACACCCACCCCCACACTTTGCCCTGCCCTAATCCAGGCAAACACCCACCTGCCACACTTGCCCTGCCCTAATCCGGGCAACACCCACCTCCCACACTTTCCCTGCCCTGATCCGGGCAAACACCCACCTCCCACACTTTGCCCTGCCCTGGTCCGGGCAAACACCCACCTCCCACACTTTCCCTGCCCTAATCCAGGCAAACACCCACCTCCCACACTTTGCCCTGCCGTAAGCAAGCCATGCAGAATCCCTGGATTTCTCTCAAAATCCCTGGATGGCACAAAAACAAGTTATAAATAGCTTTTCCCGCCAAAAAAACGTTTTTTTCTGCAGATCTGCGTACAGCACAGTTCGACCCTGCACTGCAGGTCGATCAGTCGGCGCCCGCCTGTCACAGTGCAGATCTTGCAGGCTAGGCTGGTCAGGTCTTGAAAGCGCCGTGCACAGTTCGAAGTGCGAATGGGCACCGTAGACCTACATATTTTTGAAAAAAACCGGGACATTCGAGGCGAATCCATGGAGTTTTAAGGAAAATCCTGTATCAGACAAAACTGTGACTTTTCCGGGAGTTTGCTTGAAATCCCCGGGACCCCGGGAGTAGTGTTGATTTCCCGGGATTTTCCTGGGAAATCCGGGAGGGTTGGCCAGTATGCGTAGTTCAGTCAAACACCCACCTGCCACACCCTTCCATGGACAAAATGTGTGTACTTCACTGCTACATCGGCATGCTGCGAGGCCTCTTAATGCCCTTACCGCTTTAGCCAAAGCAACGCATCAGTGGCAGAGTTAGAAACCTTGGTGGTTTTGGCCTCGATTTCCCTGTCGACGATCATCTGCAGAGTGTGGTGCGCCTCACGATTCTCCTCATACTTCTTCCGCAGTTTCTGCACAAGAACAAAAGTAGCGTCCACAGTAGCTGACCAAGTTACAGTGTGTATTGGCGAATACTGAAATCCGACCCAAAGGGCAAAACTGGCGTCCTGGACCAGTTCCGATTACATCACTGTGCTTGTGCATGTGGACGTCCAGCAGACGCATTCGTACCACTTCCAGGGCAAGGTCAAGGGCCGTGCAGGTTAAAGGTGCCAAGTGTGCAATCAGGGTCGGATTTCCCCAAACTCAATTATAGTTAGCTGGCAGTTCCTCTCGAAGATTGCGAGAACATCATGATAACATGCATAATCACCAGCAGCAGCAGCAGCCGTACCGAGATATTGCCGCTGATGTCGGACTTGACCGGCGAAAATGCTGTTGAGCCGAGTACATCTACAACGTGGCCATGAACAGACAAACACCATCAGAAGCAGCAGTCAACAAGAAGAAAACGAAGTGTGCATCTTTCTCATATTTCTTTTGCTGTTTTTTTACTGTTTTCTAATGGCTGAGCTTCTTGCTCTATGTTTGGAACCACAGTTTGATGTTGGCACTATTGTAACAGGTAGCCGAGTGGTAGGCGCGGTGCAATCAACAAGAGTTAGTTTTATTCTACTTCTCTCAGGTACACACCTGGGATATAATTATTAGTAAAAGAAGAAGCGGCAAACGAGAGAGCTTGGAAGCTCAGGGCCCTACGCTATGCTTTTTTGCCTTGATGACCTAGACAAAAAAAAAGCATAGGGATGTTATAAATTCTTTGAAAAATTTCTTTTTTTTAAGACATAACCTGGGATTCGAACCCGCACTATCGCGCGCCCTGCATGCATCCCCCGATACACTTCGCATACATACTTATTCTTCCAAGTTGTTTCACATTGTGATCTTGCATTTGAAAGCCCTATTTGAATATGCATTGTGGCCAGCCGTCTTTGATGGCACGGTACGGTAGGGGATAGGTACGGGACAGGTACGATCGAGGGTAATACGACACCGTCTCCCGTACCGTACCGTACCATCAAACACAGCTGGCCACATACAGCTGGCCGCAATATTCAAATAGGGCTTTCAAACGCAAGATAATAACGTGAAGCAACTTGGAAGAATGGGTATGAATGCGAAGTGTATGGGGGAATGCATGTAGGGCGATAGTGCGGGTTCGAATCCCAGGATATGCCTGAAAAAATAGGAGAATTGAAAAATTTATAACATCCTATGCTTTTTTGCCGTCAGATACGGATAGCGCCAGGCGTGACACAAACAAACAAACAAACACACAAACAAATACCAAACGAGAGAGCTTGGAAGCTCAGGGCCCTACGCTATGCTTTTATGCTTTTTTGCCTAGCTCATCGTACAGGTTATAAGAACTGATGGAATTGTCTTTTTCCGTTCATTGGCCACATCACTGTATTGCAAAAACGTTTCAATCGGTTTGAATATTATGAGTTAGGCAAAAGTATTTGCAGAATTTATTGCGGATTGTTGTTTCTCTAATAATCATCTACTTTTGTGTTGCTCCTTCTTTAATTTTTATCTCCTTATAAATATTATTGTGAATCAACAAATTTTGGCCGATGAGAAATAGAAACCTCTCGATTAGAGAGGTTAAGATGCATGTTATTTCCGACGTGACGCGCAGTTTCACGTCAAATTTGAAATCGATCGGTATTTTTGCTCTCACATGCATCCATTGCTCAATCATGCATCATTTGCCTATATGACAAACGTTGGCCTGCGATTTACTTTGTCCGGTTGGTACCAAGCGGCGAAATCAGCGAAATTAAATCGCCAGCGAACATTAGTTGATTTTAATACAGGAATCGGATTTTCTGGCCTTTTGTAGTAATACATCTACATTGACCTGTTGAGCCAATGACGACGCCGAATGCATGGTTGCCTGTGGAGCACATTACATACATGTAACTTTACAGTCTCCTAAAATACGTATCCTGTCCGACGGCAAAAGAGGCTGCAGATTTAGTTTTTCTGCGCGTCGACGGGATGTCTGCGACGCGAAAGTTCAGCTCGCGCTATTTGGCTCGCACGTCGAAAAAATCAACGCGAGTGACCTGCTGCTCATGTCGAAATTTGGACATCACATAACTTTACAGTCTCCTATATAAATACGTATCCTGTTCGACGGCAAAAGAGGCTGCAGATTTAGTTTTTCTGCGCGTCGACGGGATGTCTGTCCTGACGTTTACTGGGACCGGCGCTGACTCTGCCAATCACGGCGTTCTGGACTCGACGGGATGTCTGTCCTGACGTTTCCTGGGACCGGCTTAGACTCTGCCGATCACGGGCGTTCTGGACTCAACGGTATGTCTGTCCTGACGTTGCCTGGTACCGCCGGACTCTACCGATCACGGGCGTTCTGGAGTCGACGGGATCTCTCTTCCGATGTTTCCTGTGACCGGCACTGAATCGCTCGTTCACGCTTATTTTGGAGACGACGGGATCTCTCTTCTAAAGTATGTTTATGCTGACGCATCCTATCACCTAATCGGCGTCTATTCTAATTTAATTTCCTCCTCGTCTCCCTATTTCTTTCCAAATCCCACTCTACATCAGGGAGTCGTATGCATAATACGACGAATATTGGTACGGTACGGGACAGATACAGGAGCCCGCAAATATTGTGGACAGCTGTTATGTACAATCCTGTAGAGCCTTTGTAGTCACAGATACGGGACAGATACGGGATAGCGCCAGGCGTGACACAAACAAACAAATACCAAATTAAAGCTGTGTGGACCCTGGCTAGCGCCAGACGTTACTGAAGTAACGTCTTCTGCATAGCTACGGGAATTAAAGCTGTGTGGACCCTGGCTAGCGCCAGACGTTACTGAAGTAACGTCTTCTGCATAGCTACGGGAATAAATGGAACTTTCTCTCCGGTGCACACCTAGAGGTTGACTACTTCTTCTTCGAGTTAGCTTTGTCGTTGCTATCTAATCTCATCAAAACAGAAATGCGCAGCAGCTTTTATGCAGCAGACGCCGTACGTTTACATACGGAGATACACTAAATATCCACCAGGTTAAATTCCGTATTAGTTCCGTATTAGCCAGGCAGGGATACTACACCCTCCCTTCCTACAGATAATCACGCCCTCATGATTTTCAAAAATTAGCGAAGAGTGATGAACACAGCGTCAACCGTAAGATGGCAAATTATATCCGAAATGATAACGTTAAGAGTAGACAGAAGAAATGAACTGATAACAAATCATAACATTGAAGTAAAAGCACACCAGGTTCACACGATCTCTCGGGGTCAAAAGGGAAAGAACGGTCCTCCAAAAAGGACGTGAAAGACAGCCAAATTTCTGCACATCGCGGGCTCAAACTGCCAGGAACTTCACAATTTCAAAAAAAAATGCACTGCATCGTGGGAACTTACTCCGGTACACACCTGGAGTGTAAAAGGGGATCTCACACATTTCTCTCACAAGGTTAGTTAGGTAAACCGTGGCTCACCATGATCAGACGCCTACCAAACTAAACTGGATTCACACACTCGCATAAAGGAAGACTGAAGAGAACAGGGAGACTGAAGGAAGACAGGAAAGAAAATGCCATACCTGGAATCAGCGTTAATAACCTTGGCGGCGGCTGGAGCTACGGCGGAGGGCAAGCTAGGTTTTATCTTCATCTTGGTTGAGCCGGTCACTCAGAGCGGCTAGCTCGGCGGCAGACAAATGACCTCCCTCCTCGTCTTGAATCGTGGTCTTCACATTGTCGATAGCATCGCTTTGCGCGACGTAAAGAGTGATGGTCTAGCCAGGAAGAGTGTTGATAAAAATCTGCATCCCACCACGGAGGCGAAGTACCAAGGGAAGAGTGGGCTCCTGCTTCCGACTGCGTGCGGGCGAAAATCAAACGCTGCTGGTCTTGGGGAATACACTCCTTGTCTTGGGCAGCAGCCTGCCTGTTGTCGTCCTCATCAGCTTCGCCATCACCACCGGCAGTATACATGTAGGTAGCGGGTCGCTTGGAATCGCCATCGGAGTCTCCAGTGTGTGCCGTGCGGAGAGAAGGGTGATCCACGCTAGCACCCTGACTGTGCTGCAGGCTAATAAGCAGGGCCAGGCCCAGGAAGGCAAGAAACATGATTCTCATCTTGATTCGTCGCAAGGAGCTGCAGCGGGTTGAGCCATGGGGGTCTGGGGTCAAATCACGTTGTTTTATTTAAAAATACACCGCTGCCACCAATGTAACAGGTAGCCGAGTGGTAGGCGCGGTGCAATCAACAAGAGTTAGTTTTATTCTACTTCTCTCAGGTACACACCTGGGATATAATTATTAGCAAAAGAAGAAGCGGCAAATAAATGGAACTTTCTCTCCGGTGCACACCTAGAGGTTGACTACTTCTTCTTCGAGTTAGCTTTGTCGTTGCTATAAAATCTTATCTAATTAAAACAGAAATGTGCAGCAGCTTTTACGCAGCAGACGCCGTTTGTTTACATACGGAGATACACTAAATATCCATCAGGTTAAGTTCCGTATTAGTTCCGTATTAGCCGGGCAGGGATACTACACTATTGCCTTCGGCTTATCACTTCATTCATTCATACTGTAATGATGCGAAGGAGTCTCCAAAAGTAATTGGATACCTTATCAGGGGAGTTTCCTGGAAGGGTGGATGATCAGTATATTCATAATAACGACATAAAGCAAAGAAGGCATCGAAAGTACACGCGGGAAATTGTTTCACGCATATTCCTTTTGAGGAGTCTGAGGCCAGTTCTTTTCCACAGTGCAATCACTAAGGAGCAGCAGTTGTAAGCTGTAGCTCATCGAGCCTGACACTTGGTAATCATACAACGTATTGTCCAATACAACCAGACTACATAATTGTTACTCCCTGGTGTCTAAAGAGAATAGTAGTATTGCTCATCATACCAACACTACATGTATCGTGCTAAGATGTGTGTGCGCGTGTGTGTGTGCGTGTGTGTGTGCGCGCGCGTGTGTATGTGTGTGTGTGGTGTGTGTATGTATGCAGTATGTTACATTGCTGCAGTCAATTCTGAAGACCATAGTCGTCGTTGAAAGTTTCAATGCATTCGGATGGTGGCGGATGCCTAGCTGACCTACGATTTCCCCAGCAGTTAAATTCCCTGACTTCTTGTACATTTACCCAAGTACAGCGCTAATCTACCGGACAGGCATCACTCGCGCGTGTCATTTTTTCAACGAAGGGGAAAATTGGAGACACAGATCAAAGCGCCAATTCATTTTCTCACCAAAGAACGGGATCACTTCGGCAGCAGCATTCAGAAAAGGTTCGGTTTCGATGGCACCATCCTCTCCAATAGGCAGGAACTTGTACTTAGAATTGGCGAAGAAAGTCATCGTGATCCGAAGCCAAGCAAGTTTCCTTTCCAAACAATAACTAACTATCACTTCCAAAGTGAAATAAATAATTCCTGTGGCTGTTTATTGTTTGCCCATGACATGCTAGTTCCTTACGTCATGACATCTTGCTACACGTGTACGTACGGGTAATGGCTAAAAACCGACAAATCACGTTTCCTTATTCACAAAATCTGACGTTTTAGCTGCTTTCGAGAGAAACTATCAGTATTTTGTATGAACCCACCAGGCAGCTCATATGAAACTGGGGTTACGTGTAGAAAGGAAAGATTTGCAAAGGGACCGCTGCTGTTTCCCAAGCTCCCCCAGCTGCATGAACTGATGAAGGTTTTTTTGGCACTTTGCAGCATGTGAGCCAGAAGAAAAATTTCATCGAATGAGAAAGGTCGTGGAGGTGTGTGGGTGATCCTTCCTTGATTTCCTAGGGTTACAACAAGCCTCCTCTCGTTGTCCCATAGCTGCAGCACGCAGTAGATAAACTGGCTGTGAAAAAAAGAGTAGTGCAAGGAGAAGGCCGACCTGGAAGGTGTTTATTCTGTTTTTCAAATGAATGAGTTCAAAGTTGAAAACAGTTAGGAACATCTTTCATTACACGTGGCGATCGAGCACTACATGCACAATCATGGCTGGCATTGGAGCAACGGAGCGTTCTTGGCTGAGGTGAGTGCATTGTACCCGTTCTGAAATTTTATCAACTCGGTCGAAGCTGTGATTACCAACTGGAAAATTATTATCGTATATCCACACATGTTCATGTGTACACGGATGCACTGACTGTGTTGTGTGCAAGATACTCACATCCAGGCCTACTCTACGAGACTGACGCCTGACGGTGTTTGTCAGCAGTACTGTAGGATCACGCGAGAACCAGTACAGCGCTATCGAAAACTGTTTGAATTGATTGGGTCCGATTTGTCGATGCATCACGTCCACAAATTATCTAGCAGAACCTCTAGGTAGTGCTAACACATGTACATGGTATATTATCATCCAGGTGGTTTAATAGTGGCTAGCAGTAGTACATACATCACGTGCTTACAGTCTGTACTATGCACGGAGAATTTCAAATCTCGCATACAGGTGAGATCTACTTGTAGTCAAATTACCACCTGGTCTCCATGACCACCTGGTCTTCATGACCACCTGGTCTCCATGACCACCTGGTCTCCATGACCACCTGGTCTCTAATAGCGTACTTCCGCACATATAATTGGGCCGTGCTTATGTGCAGACTTAAGCGCACCCCCAATCATAAGCGCATGTGCTCATATGTGAATAGTGAATACAAGTACTGTAATTTCACAAATTTTCGGTGTTCTTTTATTTTCGGTTTTTTCGGTGCGTCTGTTTCATACCTAAAATTTCAATACACCGAACTAACACTAACACACATAAGCCAATAGGGAACTGCTTCACTGTACCGAAAATTTCTGTTCACCTAACTTAGCCTGTTGCCCTCATACCGAAAATATTGAGCACCGAAAATTTCTGAAATTAGAGTATTGGTGAAACACCACAAAGTACAGTGAAACCTGTGTAAGATGACCGCGCAAAGGGACTTTCAACACGTGGTCTCTGTAACCAGGTGGTCTCCTTATCTAGGGTCATTTGACTGGAAATAGCATCGCTTGGTCCTGGCTCCAGTGGTCTGCTTGGACAGGTGGTCGCCTTATCCGAGTGGTCGCCATGGCAGGGTTTGCTGTATTGTGATAACACCACTGTTTGGGACACATACACACCGTTATTGCACATAATATAAACGCATGTGCGCTTACCATACTCATTCGATTAGAAGCCCCCCCCCCCCCCCCTCTTGGATAATAGCCCCTCTTGAATAATAGCCCCCCCCCCCCCCCACAGCGACTGGTTGAACAAATAGAAGCCCGGACTACTATTCGCAAAGGATGGGGTGACCAGGTAGTGCCATGTATGCTAAGGTCAGGGGGCGTGGACAAAGTATCATTGCATGTACCGTAAAGTACCGCCAGAGCGCCCCACCATCTCATCCTTTCGTGGTCGTATTGTGGAGGTGGACGGCTGTCTGTAGGTCATACGACATGAACCTTGTACACATATTGCACGTTTTGCAGTCAATCCGCACCTTCAAGCTGACACAAGCTCCACACAAAAACCTGCCAAGTGTGACCTTAGTACACTAAGATTCTCACATCGTACACACTTCGTTGCACTCTGCCATACGATTTTCCTTTCTCTGGCTGTAAAATCAAGGTGGGGCGCTCTCGCGAGACGGAGCGCTCTGGCGGTACTTTACGGTACTGTCACGACGAGTGTCGTGATTCTATTCCAGCTATACACATAATGCAAACCAAGTCATCATATTACTACATGTACAGGAGTCGCGATCTGGCTTCACCTTTTTTTTCTCCTCGTTTTTCACTTACATACGTAGTACCTCGCGAGTTCACCATTCTGGGCTCACACCCAGACCACCGCGTGTCGACCACGACATGACATCCATCTTGTTCTTTTCTGTTGAGTTAGTCTTTTTCCGTTTCACCTTGGGGCAACAGCAAGTTTCTTCGCTCGTGCCATATCACTTCAAAGAAACGGAAACTGTTTCAATACTCTAGATCCTTGTGCGGTTTGAACTCACCCCTAGCTCTCCCACTGTACCCAACTTAACTTCATTCCGCACATGTACATACCGCCGGTACATGTCCAGGTCAATGTAGTGTGTGCGAACTACAGTCCATTTCAAAACTATAGACGCGTACCTAGGCAAAAACCGTTATGCCAGCATCTATACCACATAAAATCTGTGATCACTTTGTGCATAAATTTTTCCAAATTGGGCGTCTGTTATCCAATCCTTTAGAAACTATATGAGAGTAATTGTGGAGCGATCCTGAGCAATATTCCGAAAACTATTCTCAAAAAGTTCCAGCCAAATTTGAAATATTTCAAAAACCCTACGCGTCTATAGTTTTGAAATGCACTGTAATGATTCGATTGGAATACTGGTATGGATTGAAAAAATAAAAAAGCCCCTCTTGAATAGAATCTCGAATAGAAGCCCCTCTTGAATAAAAGCCGCCTCGGAATCGGCAATGAAAAATAGAAGCGCCCTGGCTTCTAATCGAGTGAGTATGGTATATGTGGGGAAGTACGGTGGGTGATCCACACGACGTAAATGCACGATAATGCGTTGTGGTGGACCAAAGTGGTTGACCCCTTGATAAGCGATCAGCAGTACAGTAAAACCTGCGACTAGCGACCACCCCTTCCTTGGGGCCAGAGAAAGCGGTCTTTAGTAGCAGGTGGTCCTTAGTTAGAGGTTTGCACCGCACAACCATAGTGGATGTGAGACCGTCCGTGCCTGGTGAAGTGGTTTGTAGTACCAGGCTGGTCGCTAGTCACGGTGGTCTGTAGTACCAGGCTGGTCGCTAGTCACGGTGGTCTGTAGTACCAGGCTGGTTGCTAGTCACGGCGGTCTGTAGTACCAGGCTGGTTGCTAGTCACGGTGGTCTTTACTTACAGGTTTTACTGTACATCGAGGTTTCTTGTTATTTTCGTATTGTCCATTTTTGACGTGGTTTCCGTCGTGTGTATGTATCAGGATCTGGTCGGGGACGTGGAATGTATACTCGGTTGGGCCAGCAGATGACCTCACTGACTGGCTGGGTCTGAAGGGACAGAGCGATGTGTGTGACGTCTATGCGGTGGGGTAAGACGAGAAACTGCTCTTCACTTCACTCATTTTTTTTCCAGAATCCACATGGCTGATTCGATGCAGCACAGGTTTTGAATTCTTTACTCTCACGATGGCACCATCGCCAATAAGAGAGGTTTGATGGTATTGTTGAATGTGATGACCTGCGCCTGTTTTTACGGGTTAGGTAGTGGAACTCCGCTAAGACCTACCCCATGAGCAGCAGACAGTTGTGCACTTACATGTAGTATCTTAGGTACGTCTTATCTAGGGCCGAAACGATTGCCCATTTTGCCTTAACGATTAACCAATAACAGCGCATGCGTGCGACCAGCTAGTTCCAGCATGCAGTGTGTTACATTCGCTATATTGTGGTCTTACAAGCACTCATCTACACTACTTTGAAGAACAATCACAGAGAACCGTATGTTCTAACGAACAATCGCAGAGAACCGTATGTTCTAACGTTGCTTGATATAACTATAAACCGAAGCACAACTGCTGCAAACACTTTAAAACTGCCCACTTAGGCAAGATAGTAACAACTAAAAGTAGAAGAAGTAAGACTAGCGGGTTCTTCCAGCTCCAGGACAGTATGAACAGGCAACGGCATACCAGCATTGTATCATACATGCATGTGGCCGTGAAGAAATAATAGTACATTTAGTTGTGAATGCAAACCCAAGGCGGAAAGCAGTCAGGCGTAATAGACGCCAGCCATAGAAACCAGATCTATCTATCTATGACGCACGTCACATGCATTCATGATGATCAATGCATCGTGGTTCACCACCATTGAACACAGTAGTACATGTAAATTACACAGAAATAGGAGAATAAATCTACCATACCTCCCTCGTGAAAGAAAAGTGATAAATAGCACATGAGTGAGTAAAAGACGAAGACAGCAAGAAGAAAAACACAACAAAAACAATGGCAATTGGATATGAAAACTTGGATGGAAAGAAAAGGACCAAGGACGTACAAGACGTGCTAGAGCTGATAGCCAGTTAGTTGTTGAACGTCAGTACTGTCGGTCAATGTTGTGCAATGTTATCGCATGAGCTGATCGTCAAGTAACTGGTGGTGTTAGTGGACATTATAGCATAGCTTGTAGTTCCTTGGTCTTTTCTTTACTATGAATATGAAAAAATCAAAGTTCACTCAGTACTTGCACCTTTAACTTCCAGTGGCTCGAGATGATGAACTGCATGCTTGTATACCTTCCCAGCTACTTAAACTTCTACTATCCGAACAACACCATCCTTACCTGGATAGGTCATAAGTATACGTCCACGTGGCCAGTGTGCAATTGCTGTGTGCTCATCCATCACAAGCACGATGTCTCCTTTCTTAGCGTTACGCTGTTGTAGGAACCACATCTCCTGGATGCCCAGCTTCGGAACAATCTCTTCCAGCTAACGTTTCCATAACTGATCTACAATACGTTGTACAAACTCCCAATACTTCCTCGGGTGAACTTGAGTAATTGTAGATGGGTTGGCTTCAGCAGCAATAGTTGCCCTAGCATGGCCAATGAGAAAGTGTTGTGGCAATAGCAGCTGAAGGTATTCTTGCAGCAGTCGTTTCATTGCCTTGGCCCTCACCTAGAACACACCACCAAAGTGTGGTGCACTTGGTGGCTTGAAGTGCCAGGTAATGCCGCGGTATGACCTTTCTGCTGCTAGTCTGGAGTGGTTGAGAAACTTGACAGCTGCTTTTACCTCTTGATCAGCCACACGAAAATTGGTACCGTTGTCCGATTGCATCTCTTGTGGCACACCACGTCGCATGGTGAATCGGGGTCTAAGAGCCAGGAGAAAACCGTCGTTGTCCAGAGATAACCTCGAAATGACAAGCCCTAGTCAGCAGCATGTATACACATACATATCTCTTTGAGTTGTGACCGATCTCGACCCTGGCGTGCATAGAACGGGACGACATAGCTGGCACCAACTATGGCAGATGACTAATGTGGTCCAGTTGTCTTGAAGTCAGGAAATTGTGGCATTGCTGGGTTTGCTGTTTTGATGTGGCCGTTGCGGCAAAGAACGCACTTGGCCCGATGCCTCCAGGTGGCCTGCATCACTGGAGAGAAGCCACTCACCCGGCACAAGCCTCCACGAGTGCTGTGTGCTCCTCATCGTGAAGTGATACCTTTCCCAGTGTACTTCAACAGGCGTGTTGATGTGTTCGACGACAAAGTGCAGTGGATCCATGCTTTGAGGTGGGCTGGATCACTGGAGAGAAGCCAATCATCTTGTGAGAGCAGTAGCGAGTGCGTGTGCAGTTCAGCTCCTTCTCTGCATGATCAAGTTGCTACAGACCTTGCAAGCTGATTCCATACACCACTGCCACAGGTTATGTCTGTCAGCTAGATAGCAACAATATCCTCTTCATGAATGTTCAAAGAATTAACCCTTTATTGGCTGGCCTATACATTGATCGAACACCGATGTTCGATGGGGTAGGCATTTTGAAATTATCGTAACTTGTTCAAATCTCGGTCTTTCGGAGAGATCTAAATATGTAGGTCGAAGAGAAAACTCTCAGCTGTCGCCTCGAACAATTTTCAAAGCGATACAAAGAGCGGTTCTTGAGTTATAGCACTCGTAATGTTGGTCCCGGGAAATTTGCGCTCAGGGCGTGATGCGTGGGTCAACGGCCGGGATTTTCCCTGCTTACGTCACCTGTTGACAAGACTACACCGATTCAACTTTAAAAATACGTTCCCGGGAGTCTCTGCGAAAAAATTTGAGTTTGATACGAGCCACAGGAGTGAAATGGTGGATAGAGATAGATCTCGAGCGTGGGCCCAGCGCTGGTTGGCCTTCCCTGGCTTGCAGCGCTGGGCCAGTGCATCCCGTGGAGTCGAGTGTACGCTCATTGCGCTCCTCTCGCCAAGGCCTTTCCAGGATGCCCAAGATCGTGGAATTTGTCCAATGCAAACTAAAGTTACGTCCAATATAGGTACAGGTTTGGCGATTGCGTGGGCTTGTTTGTATTTTAATCGGCCAATAAAGGGTTAATATTTTCTCGGTTCAAAATCAGCTCTCCAGTGTCTACAAGTACAATACAGCATGATGGCATGTGCATGGACAGCATCCGACTGTGATGCAGCTCTCCTGGAAGGAAGCAAAGTTCTTCTGTCGCCAATGCCATCGCTTGTCAGTGTCTAACGATCAATTTATTGGTTTTACCGATTTTTCGAACAAGTTTTATACGTGTCATGTTGGAAATCAGTAGACGGCAAAAACAATTAAATTTGTTCAACTATATACAGGTACGTACGGGTGAAAGATCCACACAGGCCCCAAAACGACCAAAATGAAATTTGCAACTTGATATGAGCAGTGTTCCTCTGCCATTAGGCATGCACGATCAGTCCTCTGTCTTCTACAATGGAGAAGGGTCGACTGGAGTCGACAATCCAGTCGATGATCGACTCCGTCAACATGCCTGAGCGCCTGCAGTCGCACCTTCACAAGTTACCTGTGCCGGAGAACGATGTGACGGGCTTCGTTCCAGCACTGGTCGTCGCATTGTCACTGCGCTCAACATTGCTGGTAGTCGTCGGTGCTGTCGACAGGGTTGCTGGTCCTTTCCCTACCACGGCGGCGTACTGGTCTTTATGAGCAGAAATCAGGTGGGGGAACAAGTTGGTTGTGCCACTTTGACGGACGAACTTGCGGCTGCACAAATTGTATCTCGCTACGCTACCAGCTTCCTCGAAGTATGCCCAAACTGGCGATCTCTTGGTCCGACAAACTTTCGCTTTTACAGGCGGCAGCATTGTCACTGCTCTCCTTGCCAAGAAATCCAAACTAACTAAGTTTTTGACAAGAACTGAACAAATTAGAAGGCCGGCAGCCACACTCACGGTTTCGCTACAACCTAAAACTATGAAGCTTTCCGGTTGTTTCACTTTCCGGCTACGCTGACTATTGCAGTGAATAAGGGCGGAGTACGATGTCGGCAGCTGAGCGCGGAATGTACGGCTACGAGTACCCAAAGTGATCAAGCGCGCAATGATTGTACGGACCTACGGCTTCATGCACCTGTACTTCGACGTTCATGTACTTGTGCGCATGACACGCGTGCATGATGCCATGCATCGTCTGCATGTACTGACGTCATGACCACTTTCGCACTGTACAGTCATAATCGTTATCGATCATAACGATTATCGATTTCATCCATAACGAGTGATATACGAGTAATCGGTATAATCGTTTCAGCCCTATTCTTATCCCAGCATACTTCAGTACACCCGTGCTCCGGACAATGTCTGTACTAAGCAAGAGTATGTATTATCAGAGTACAGTGTATGTATTATGAGTACAATGTACTCTATGTATTATCAGAGTACAATGTATGTATTAGGCCACACGTTTTTATTTCTATGTTTCTCGTCACCCGCGCGCATACGATTCAGGAGTCTGGAAGAAAAAAAGAAAAAAATATGCTACACTGACTGTGCATGTGGGGACCAGCACACTCATGCACATGTACATAATGTGGCCTGGCATGCGCGGCACATGATGCAAGGTGGCATTTTTGTGCGCAATTTAGCAGCACATGCTCAGATTGTGACAGAAGCTCCTACCACATACTAGTTGCTAACTATGGATGCTATTTTGCATGGTGTATTGGTGGATTTTAGTGTGAACAAAGGTCTAATAAACTTTTTTTTATTTTTCGGTCATTTTTTATTTTTTTCCACCTCTCGCATACGTTTTTAGATTTTCAGGTGACGAGAAACATAGAAATAAAAACGTGTGGCCTTATCAGAGTACAATGTATGTATTATCAGAGTACAATGTATGTATTATCAGAGTACAATGTATGTATTATCAGAGTACAAAGTATGTATTATCAGAGTACAAAGTATGTATTATCAGAGTATGGCTAATCAGAGTATGTACTAAGGAAGTTCGACCACGGTTCCACTTGCCCTGATGCATTTAAGAAGTAACAGTTGGTCCGTATTCAGCAGATGCCGTCACTTGTAGCGTATTGATGCAGGGATCGATTTGCTTTGATTTTTTTGCATGGCAGTCACTGCTACACAGTTTTACAATTGACTAGCAACTCCCAGTATTGATTGGCAGTTTTCCTTCATCAAAAGTTTACATGTATAGCTCATACTTGCCAACCCCTGGCAAACAGTTTCCTTGACACTGATGGCGTTTTTCCTTGATTTTGCCCATTTTTCCTTGATCTGCAATTTTTACATCATAATTGTGCAAAACATTGTATATGACATCATAGTGACGTCACCATGACCACAAAACATTCGCAAATAGTACAGCATGTACGACAAAAACGTGCTTTTTCATGTGTTATCTCAAAAGTTCTCGCTCGCTAAACCTTGATGTGGGCACAGCACTTCGAGCGAGTGCCCAAAACCGAAAATCAACACAAAAAAAAGGTGCTGACGGACATTTTCGAAAATCCGGTAGATGTTATAACTTTTCCGGTGTACCGGGACGAAAGCGAGGTTTCCTGGATTTTCCCGGAAATTCCGGTAGGGTTGGCAAGTATGATAGCTGTACAATAGCAGGATTTTGTACAGAAGAGGACAATGGCTGCAGTCGCTATTTGCTTCTCCGAACGAACGGTTGACCTGAATATTTTACGTTAGGGTTTTCGCTTCGGCTTGTTGCATGTTCAGCGTCCATCCAACTTCGAGTTCTTCAGAACACGATGTCCTTGAACAGGACAGTTCCACTGATTCCTTCGACAAAGAAAGCTCAGGAAAGCGCTGAAACGATCGTGACACTTCATTCAAAGCGCACAGAATTTTCGCTTTCCTCCTTTTCTTCATCGAAACGAATCGACACTCCTGGCTCGACCAGTTCCTTTTCCCGCTTCTGGACAGTGATCAGATTCACTGACATGTTGGCTACATGAGACCAAGAGTAGATAAACAAGAGAGTGCAACTCCGGATCTCTTCTGCACAATCTGCAAATACCCCCGCCCGCGGCGTAACTTTTTGTTGACGTCACCTTTTTTCAGAAGAACGCGCATTTTGCCCCAGAGCAGTGTGAGAGCACGTGCTGGGCGCCGACTTTGTAATGTAAAGCCCGGCCAAGTGCACGAGGCAAAACTTTCCAAAAGACTCGCAGCGCGTGTATCGTCGAAAAGATTACGTCAACAAAAATTCCGCAGCGGGCCAACCCATCCCGGAGTTGCACACTCTTGTTTATCTACTCTTGATGAGACTAAGCACCATCTACTTCAACTGTGTCTTGTCGAACAGAAACAAACTGAATTGAGCTTGACAGTGAAAGAAGAAAGGAGAACTTCAGGGAAAGTGGCCGCCGTGTACAAAACTTCAAAAGACTGCAGTCTTGTACGACCAGTGCTATAGTTGTGGCTAGTGCAGTGTCCAGAATCAAACAGAGCGCGATCCGCGACACGCGCGCGGACTGAGCAGGACAGGCCAGTTGGTTGGAGTAGTATGATACTACTCCCTAGTCAGCAGTGGTGTACAGCAGTCGCATGCAAACTGCACACAAACAGTACAGAATGGTCTTTGTACATACCGCTATGCATGGCCAGTGCATCGCAGTTTTGGGCGATAAAAAACGAAAAGCGAATCGCAGCCAGTGAATTTTGATTCGCAAACTGCGATGCGAACCCGGATAAATCGATTCCTGTGATGAGTAAGGCCATTCATGCAACATGACATTTCTTGCTTATCCTGTTTCACAATGTTGGGCGGTGGAAATTTGATCAAGACGTGAACATTACACCGCACAAGCATCATGTTTCTCTCTCTCTTGCTCTCTCTATCTCTCTCTCTCTCTCTCTCTCTCTCTCTCTCTCTCTCTCTCTCTCTCTCTCTCTCTCTCTCTCTCTCTCTCTCTCTCTCTCTCTCTCTCTCTCTCTCTCTCTCTCTCTCTCTCTCTCTCTCTCTCTCGCTCTCTCGCTCTCTCGCTCTCTCTCTCTCCTTTGCAGGTTTCAGGAGGCCAATGCCAGTCCTGTTGCATGGACATCAGAGCTAATGGCGTTTGATCCGTGGACGCAAGCTTTGTCCTCTCTCCTCTGCAAGTACGGACTGACACGAGTAAGCAAGCATTAGGTGTATGGCAACTTAGGTGTAGTGCTGCAGGTCAAGATGGATATGTACACACACACGCACGCGCGTGCACACACACACACACACATCCCAGTGGGCGTAGCTCGCGCATTTGCGACGGGGTGACCATGTATCAGACTGTATATCTGCGCTGTGTTGACTATGTACCATGGGCAACCTCATTGGGTGTCATTCGGCCTGTTTGGACTATGTAGTACCTATGTGATATTCGGTGGCCATCTTCTGGTGTGGTGATCGCACTACGCCGACTATACACGAGCTACACACCGGCATCCTGTTGCTCTATTGCCTACACACCGGCATCCTGTTGCTCTATTGCCTACACACCGGCATCCTGTTGCTCTATTGCCTACACACCGGCATCCTGTTGCTCTATTGTCTGTACACTGGTAGAACTACAGCAAAGCGAAAGAAATCCGACCCGTGAGTCAAAGCTAGCGCCATGTTTCCATGTCAATTACATCATGCACGTTCCGAAAACTGATCCGAGGGCTGCAGGACCCGCATGAGCCTTGGCGCTGCTAGTGGCATGTTGGTCGGATTTCTCTCGCCGCGCCTGTAGTTAGAGTGTCTAGTGGACTGTATGCTTGTATTACCACTGGGCTGATGGAAGTGAACAAATTTTAGTTATTTTCTTCTTGTTTCTTTTTCTCTTTACATATCTTCTTGTTTTGTTTGTGCTTTTCTGCGCAGTTGTTTGTACGGCGTGTGTTTGGTCTCCTGATCTGCGTGTTTGTGCGCGTGGAGCTGCTACCTCACATCTCCGATATTGAGTTCTCCAAGCTAAGGACCAGCATGACGGGGTGAGTACGGTGGCCTTGAAGGCATGGTGGGTGACTTTACTCTTGCCTTGTACCAGGGACGTCGGAACCGGTGCGGCAGGTACTGCCAAAGCCGCACCAACAATAATCTTTTGATTTTTGAAGCAATAAAATACAGCCTGCTATGCCGGATACCGCCAGCCATGCATCGACCAGGCGCCAGGCGCGAACTGATGGTGGTGGTGGTGAGAAGGAGAGCTCTGTGCCAGAACTTTGCAGCCTAGAGAGCGTGTGTGAGCAGGCGTGTGTTTACCGCCATATTGCCAGGTGTGTCTTTACCACCATATTTATCAACAATAAAATAAAATATGGGTTATTTGGGCGAAATTTTCGAAACTTTTTTCTGCCTGGGGAGGGCCTCAGACACTTGCCTAGCACGCCCCTCTTCGTCATGGCCGCATCAATGTGGAATGCTTTCCGACACCCTTGTGTACCAAGTCATCTCCATTACAACTCTTGTCGGCGCTCCAGTTTTTCTTTTCGATTGGTGAGAACGCGCGGTGGATGCTTCATACAAGCATTAGCAGTAATGGGAAATGAAATTCGGACTTGTCTACATTGCTTTGAGGACTCCTTTTGGTTATCCCTGCTCTCTTGGTTTGGTTTGCTTCCTATCTGTTTGCACCGCTTAGGAAAGGTGCGATTGCAGTTCGATTCCGTATCTGTGGGCTTCATGCCGTCTTTATCAACTGTCACTTTTGTCCGCACACGGAGAACATCAGTGTCAGGAATAAGGTCAGTGTGTGTGTGTGTGCGCGTGCGTGCGCGTGTTGTGTGTGTGTGTGTGTGTGTGTGTGTGTGTGTGCACGTGCGTGTGTGTGCATGTAGAAAAGCAAGTAGGCATTCTGCAACACCTCAGCCGATCTCCTTTACTAGTCTATTGTGCACTGGGTGAAGGTTTGGAGCCAACCCTGCTCTAATATGGCTAGCAAGCCACTGACATCAATGCAAGGCACTGGCATCAGTGCAAGCCACTGGCATCAGTCCTATATTGATGTGTTCTATAGCTGTAGTAGAGCCAAATGCTGCTCTGCCTTACACTGGAGATTTTGTGTACGCTCTGAGTTTTTGTCCGCACCCCTCTGTGTTCCTGTGCAGGAATACTTCCGTGCTATCAAGCAAATGCGCTTTTCCGATGCGGAATGCACAGAGTTATTACAGCATCAGTGAGTATGGGTTTTATTTGTTTCTACTAGGCACATTTTCTCTTGAGCTTTTGCCATGGTGGAACTGTTTCGCCGACCAACACTTGAAGCCGTGTTGCCAGCTTCGTGGTGATGGGGAGTATTATTGAGAGCGTGACGTACGATTGCCCGCTGGCAATCTTGGTTGCAAGCTCAAACGGCTTCAGAATTGTGACCAGGCGTTCAGCTGCGGTCCATTGCCGGTCCTTCAGCTGAAGGTCACGGTGTTCCTTCTTTGGAGTGCAGCTGCTGTCCGACAGCACAACCGTCAATGCTGTCCTTAGCTGTAGGAGGCGGCTCCACACGAATTAAGGTGGAATTCCACCTTGTAGACACGTCCTGGACTATGGTTAGCGGCTGCTTGGCGCTGTCAAGCTGCAACTGCTTGAGCCTGAGGTGCTCAGCCGCCACAGACGAATGTTTAAAGTGCCCTACCAGTTTGCGACTGCAAACCAACAACTTGTCCAGGCCCTTCGTTTTGTCGATGGCGTTCCTGATGACGGTTTGCAGCAAGTGAGTTTGCGACGGGATAGTGAAGCCAGGCTCCACAAACTTCATCAGAGCAACAAACCCACGATCGCCAGCGATGGACAGTGGTCTGGTGGAGTCCACGATCTAATCGAGAATCAAGTCGGCGAGCTCCTCGGAGCGACCGGACGAACAGGGACGACTGGTGGAAGTTGCCGAGTTGACAACCCAACTCGACAAGCTGCTGCTGCTGCGCTTCTCCGCTGCCACCGATGACGCATTACTAACATATGACTCAGTAGTCGCACCCAAGGAGTGAACCGATTGGAACTTTGAAGGGTGAGCCGATTTCAGATGAGCGAACAGGTTGCTGGTTCCGCTCTGCCGAGAGTAAGTCTTTTTACAAAGTTTACATGTGTGCTTCTCCACACCACGCTCAAAATACGTCCACACACCAGACCTTGCTTGCGCCACACGCGAGCCGCCGGTGGACGAATAGTAGTAATATGTACACACTCATCATCAAAATATGTACTCATTTCAAGCCGATAAGCCGATAGCGAGTAAAAATACTCGCTCAGTATCTTTTCTAACGAGTAAATACCGAGTAATCGGTATAATCGTTTCAGCCCTAGATTTTATTGAGCAGCACCGTAATCATACAGTGAGATTAAATCCAAGCCTCTTGTACGGGCAAAATATACACAAGCGCACCCTCAACTGGGAGAAAAAGAGCTAAAATGGCTGTGAAAACAGTCTATTAGGCCGCGGTCACACCGAGCTCGATTCAGCCGTTCAGCCGAAACAAGCGCTTGTTTACGTCACTATTACCATGGAAATGGCTGAAAAGTGTCCTACAAGCGACTTTCAGCCGTGGCTGACTCTCAGCCGTTTTTTTTCGGCTTGTTTCAGCCACAGCTTGTACAAGCGGCTGAAAAGTGAAAGCCGAAATTCAAAAAAGAATTTGAGTGCGCTTGGACTGGAGCTCCGGAGCACACATGATGAACTGATAATAATTGATGTTCTTTCTTGTGTCCGTGGAACCGTGCTATCCCTGTGCCTTTGGTTTTGACCGTGAGTCTGTCTACCCCAACTACACTGTATTCAGTTTGATTTGGATTTTGTCCGACGACCATGGATTTCTGCCGCTGTGCCTCTAGACTGCTGCGTAGATTGTTGGAGCTGTGGTTTGAGGCCAAGACAAGGCACCACACTCACGACCGAATTCATGAAGAAAGCCGGGTACGAAGAAGAGAGTGGATTGCAACTGAGTTCAAAAACGGCAACCGGCGGGGCAGAAAGCTCGACATCAGGAAACACCACCCGAACCATCGCGTCCATGCACACCGAACAAATAAAAAGAGCACGACTTCGCAATTCAGAATCCGGGCTTCCTTTGCTTCTTCATCAAAACTGAACACTAGAACAAGTACAGTTTTAGATCGCGAACGTTCTGCTCACGGGCTCCAGTTTCTTGCAAACATTGGTCATGGTGTGTTTCGAGATATTCAAAATTTGGCGGGTAAGAAAAACAAGCCATTCAAGCTTTGCACTCAAGGTCTGGTGTGACCGCGTCACAGGGATCACGCAAGCCAGCTGAGCGCCAGCGATAACAAGCCCAAAGTGGCTTGTTTCGGTGTGACCGGGGCCTTAGGGCCGATTCCCACTACGTACCGTGAGTGCCGTGCCGACGATTTGGGAGGTCATGTGTACCCCACGGTACGAGCTTGAAGCTGAGAGTGATTTACACCTGCGCACAGTCATTCCGTACATTCCGTCGGCAGGCCGGATCACCATTTTTTTAATCAATTTCTGACTTTGATCCTGAGGGAAAATAGCGGGGGCCGGGGAGGACTGGAAAAAGCTCAAGAATCAACCAATCGAAAAGCCAAAAGCCAAGAAAAAACTTCGTACCGCAAATACAAAAGAAAGAAAAAACTTCCTTTCAGGGAGTAGTAAAATACCTACTACTCACTGCTACTCACTGCTACTCACTGCTACTCACTAGGGTCTATCGGGTGTTAGCGGCCGTCGTGAGTTCCCTTCGGGAACGGATACGATAATTTACTTACTTTTACTCACTGCATTCGACCTCGCGGAATACCACGGCTTGCCATTTCCACCCCCCAGAGGCCTTCGGCACCGGAATGTCCACGGCGCGGTACGGCAGGAGCCACGGAATGAACTCGCGCCAAAACTGCCCCTCACGTGAGCAAATCACCATGGGTACTCACGGCACGGCACTCACGGCACCGTAGTGGGAATCGGCCCTTACGGGGGTGAAGTCGTACAGTCCGGTATCAGGCTTGAGGTGCTGCATATCTTCCACTCCAGGCTGGCCTTGTCTTTCCTTTTCTCAACTGCTCCCATATGGTCTAGTGGTTAGGATTCGGCGCTCTCACCGCCGCGGCCCGGGTTCGATTCCCGGTGTGGGAACATTTCTTTTTTTCCTTCTTTTTTTCTCTTGTGAACTCGTTGCAGATGGACACAGGAAATAAGACTGCGTTTACACGATAACGCACGGCCAGTTTTCCGTTTTCAGTCTCGCATTTCTTTTTTTTCGTTTTTGTGCACGATGCAAAGCTGGTCCGAGGTGGTCTCCGTTTGGATCGTTTTCGCACGTCTATACGTGAGCAAAGGATCTGCCAAAGTTTGTCATGCGCCAAGTGTTGTCGTGGAAATACCAATCACACTCAAGTAATAGTTGAAAACAGGCCACATGACGAAAATTGTAAAAACAATTTTTGATTGTCGGATCCGTGTGAACGGGCGAAAACGAAACAAATGTGATGGAAACGAGGCCCAACACACCGTTTCGACTGTTCACGCATCCAAATTTATCCGGCAGAACATTTCCGTTTTCAAATTCTTCCCCCTTGGCAAGCGTTTTGGTTTTCTTCCGTTTCGGTGTACATCTTTTACGTTTTGCTCCGCGTACCGTGCATGTGAACCATGCATCCGAAAGGATTTTGTTGCGTTTTCACCCCCAGCATTGTCGTGTAAACGCGGCCTAAGATTGCAGCTAGAAGCCTACAATCCCTTCATTGGAAACTGGTGCCCTAACGTTTTGGTGTCTAGCGCATAGCTGTTGGGACTGTCAGAGGTCTAGCCAGGATTTTCTGCCAGCCGGCCAACGTTCTACCTACTACGCCTACGGATATGGGTTGTACTTCAGCATCTCACTCAAGTGCTAGTGCAGTGCACTACAGTCTACATGCGTGACCTCAAGAGTGGAGTGCATGCAGTACGCTGTACTGTACGGGATCTACGCAAGTACAGTGCACTAGTGCAGTGCCACTGCCAGTTCAGTGGAAGTTTTCGCTGCCGCCGTGCCGGTCGTTCTGTTTCCACGATTATTCGGACATTGTAGTGGCAGAAACTGGACCTATTTTCGACAGCTGACAGTGGTCGACTCTTACCTTGGCGGAGGATAGTGGGCTTGGTGACATGATTGAAAGAAAAATGATCCCCGAACACAGCGTGCTACAAATACTTGTACTTGTAGAAACTGAAAATTTCTCTAAATCTCAATTGTTTGCCAGCCGGCCAAAATAACCCTTGGAGCTGTCTCAGCTGGCAGGTCGCCCTCCCAGCCGGCATTCTGCCGGCTGAGCCGGCTTTGGCTAGGTCGCTGACTGTAATGTTTGTCTCGTATTGTTTTGTTTTGCAGCTACATTATTTGGATGGGCGACTTCAATTATCGGCTGGACCAGTGTAATGTGGAGTTTGTCAAGACTGCGTTACAGCAGAGCCGGCTAGGCGATCTGCGGCAATACGACCAGGTTAGTTACTGCCTAGTTCAAGTCCTGGTGGTGACAGTCAACTATTTTTCAGACCTTCCCCTTTGCACACCCCCCCCCCCCCCCCCGCCCAGTTTGTGAACATGTCCTTTGTAGATTGCACACTTATCGTTTTACACGCGCTCAGCCGTCATTCATGCTGGCTCATGTGCTAGTGTGTATGGTAGTTGAGAGGGGGGGGGGGGGGGGGGGAGCTACATGGCATGGGCGTTATTTCGGACGCAATCTGCAGAAGATCAATCTATCAGCAACCCACTCACACGCCACTATGAGCCACTACGTACAGGTAAGCGCGACATGTTTTGCTACATTTTTTGGCAGTTTGCTACATTCCAACGGAACATTGCTGTCCTCGCGCGCCGTGACAGTGTTGAGTTCTGCACTGTGCTGCGTGCAGTTTGATGGCACGCACTCGATCTACAACTGTTCTACAGTTTGTACGCGCACGCTCGCGCGCTGGTCATTTTGAGTCCACTTTACGCCCTGGGCTTATTTCGGGCATGGGCGCTAGAACGGACTTGAAGTGTACACCGCCTAAACCTGGGCTTATTATCGGACATGGGCGTTATTTAGGGTGGGCTTATTTACTGAATTTTACGGTATTGTCTTAACCCTTTGGAGCTGATCATTCGAAATCGAACGATGCCAATGACATGTGTGCAAGTGCACTCAACGAGTCACAACTCAGTCAAATCTCAACTGAATTCAACAATCGAAATACCTACGAGGTAGCAGAGAATCTAAGCTGTCGCCGAGTGTCGGCTCGAAAAACTCCGGAGTCGGTACGAGCTAGTGTAACAGAGCGGAAAGCGCTCGAACGTTCGCTCGATTTCTCATGCGTCAGCGAAGTGCGAATTTCGTTCAAACGTGGGATTTTCCCTCTTCCTGCCCACGCAGCGTGTGACATCACTCCCAGCGCTTTTTGCCACGGCTTTTGTGAGTCTGTTAGAAAAAATTGAATGATTTTGAGCTAGCACGAGTGAAATTGCGAGACAAGGACTATTCCCGGGTTGGATTTGGTAATCAGCTGGCGTTCCTGGCATGCAGTAGCAGACAGCAATCGCTCTCCTGAATGAGTTTGGGCTCGCCGTTATCCTCGTTCCAAGAGCTTTCCAACGAGCCCGAGATCGTCAAAATCGGTGAAGTAGAACCAGCGTTATGATGGAAATTGGAACGAGTATAGTTGCAATTGCAGCTATCTCTTGACGTCGTATGATCAGTGCAGTTCCAAAGGATTACTCATGTATATTATCGTGTTTTCCGTTTTCTTGTTGAGCTAGGTTTCGATACCTGTGTTTCTAGTAGACTTTTAGTAACTTTTACTATGGTGCGCTTCTCTTTCTTCTTCCGTTGTGTGTGTGTGCATGTGTGTGCGTGCGTGTGTGGTGTCTTCCTGCCCATCTCTGTGTGTGTGTGTGTGTGTGTGTGTGTGTGTGTGTGTGTGTGTGTGTGTGTGTGTGTGTGTGTGTGCGTGCCTGCGTGCTTGTCCGTCTATCTGTTCGTCTGCGTATACAGCTCACGCGCGAGAAGGATCTTGGCTATGTATACAGTGATTTCAACGAAGGCATACTCGACTTTCCGCCGACCTACAAGTTCACTCCTAAGACGCATGACTATGACTACAGGTAAATGTCCTACCTCCATGATGCTGAATAGTTTAAAGCTGCCGTTGTTTCCTGATGATGGGCCAGGCCCGAAAATTTGGTGTAATGTAAATTTTAATTTTAATCACAGTGAAGAGACCGTTTTTTGGAGTTTGGAGTTGAGAAGTGAAGTTTCCTAAATGCGCCTTGGTTTGTACAACTTGTTGGAGGAAATTTTAACTACATTGTTGACTTTACTGGGTAGGTGAAGATGAAATCTGAGAGTGTTCCTTGGCAAACCCCAGAGAACCCGCTCCCCCCAATCTTCCTTTTTATCTCGTCTTCAATTTTTGATGAATAGATGTATGAATGGTGGGTGGTTTTTAGCTGTTCTCCTTGCTAGTGGATAGTTTAGCGTTAGTGTTTAGCGTAACTTGTAGTTCCTTGGTCCTTTCTCTTTTGTATAAATTACTCCTTGTTATTGTTTGTCTTCAGTAATCCTCGACGTCTACCCAGCTGGTGTGATCGTATCCAGTGGAAGGTGGTGCCGAGAGAGCTCTCTGCAGCCGTGGCGACGCCAGCACCCTCGTCCGCCACTGCCTCGAGCAGCACTGCGAATGTTGCTGACGGCGCCGCGGAGACGCACGAGCGTCACCAGCCCGCGGCTCACGTCGGTGTTCGACCAGCGCTGCAGCTGCTGTCTTACCGCTCTCACCACACCTATACCGTTAGTGATCACAAACCAGTCAGTGGCCTGTGGCTGATGGCGGTGAGTTTATATTTTGTGTTTTATATTTATGGATTCTCCACAGACCTTAGCCTAAATTGAGGGAGTCTCCGTAGGCAGTTGTTTGCTGTTTGTAGTACTGTCACCCCTCGTTAAGTCAGCCCTTTTAGAACTCGGAAGACAACGCCCTCGATAAACTAGCAAGATGTTCAGGAGCCAAGCCGTTCCCCTTCATGTCAACTGGCGATACCAACTGTGTGTATCATGACACACTGGAGGAGTCCGTAGGTCGGAAATATTTCTTCCCTAAAACTTACTGGCAAAAAGTACTTTGTATCTGGTGCGAAGAGAAAAGGACGTTGTACTTCGGAAGTACTTGATATTGAAGTTTCATTGTTGTATTTGACTGGGTACAGTACTGTCTGTCGGCGAAGAACTGGGGGAGGGGGGGGGGGGGGGGTCAGCCTCCTAGCCTAGACCGTTCTTATCTTCATGCATGACAGTCAATGTGCAGTTGTGTCACCGTGTATACATTGGTATGCTGTGTTTGGTGACATTCTAGCCTGGCTGTTCTTCGGCACTCCGATCTTGGGAGCCCGACAGTGCCGTAGTGAAACTAGCTACAGTGTTACTGTGTTTGATCACGCTGGCGTTGTGATTCTAGTTGCTGTTTGGGATGAACTTACATAACAAGTACTAATGTGCTATACCATACAGAACATACAGGCCCACTGGAACCCGTCCGCTTGGTCAGGTCATCACCGGATTAACTTGTTGGCAACCAACGCATGTGTACTGCTGAGGAGGTCATGTGCACCCGCCATATACACTACGTATGAAAGGGTATGGTATGACCGCACCAATCAAAAACTTCTTCTGGCAGTCCTGGCATATACATGTACGACTGTAGCAATGGCATAATGTCTATGTGTTTCTCTGTATGCCCATCAGGTGCCGGCTCTTTCTACGTGTCTACCACCAGTTCTGTTCACAACACCGCGTGTCTGGACATTTGACACGGTCAGTTTCTTCTTCTTACTCGTGCTCTTTTTGTATGCACAATCGCTGATGATTTATAGAGTATTTTAAACATCTATCACATGACCATACGAGATAGCCGTGCTGGTTCCAACTCCACTCAACCCCTGCATCTATCACAAATTTAGTCACATGACTAAGATTTGAAACCACTCTATTCTGTATGGACTTGTTAGCTTCCTGATGTTACTCAGCAACTGAAACGATCAGCTGTGTACGTTCGTACATACACGCGCGCGCGCGCGCATGTGTGGGCTTATTGCAGCCACACGGAAACCACACAAAGCAGTTGTGGAATATTTTTCTGCTACTGTTGCTTGCAGCACTGGCTGTGCTGTTTCTGCTGCTGCTGTTGTGGATGTAGATGTACATGTATTGGCGTAGTAATCGTTGTGTGTGACTGCGTTGATATTGTAGAAGTATTGGTGTCCTCATTGTGTGTGGTGTTCTTGTACGCAGGCAGCGACGATAGAATACGAAGTACAGGAATCTGTGGAAACGTCAAACTGGGATTGGATAGCACTTTGTAAAGTGAGTATCTGGAGGACTAGTCAGGACGCTCTTTCTCACTCCTGTGCGCAGCCACACCATGCATGCGCACACCCTAACACACCTCACTCACGCGCACACTCATACCCACGCACCAACAATTAACCTCTTCTGCGGGGACAGCTGCAACAGCAAGAAAAAAGATTCGGACGCCCCCCCCCCCCCCCATAGTTTCCCAATATGGCTTGCACCTAGCTAACCTGCCCACCACCACCCCTTGCCCCTACAGCTCACCTTCATTATCAGATTCACACTTGCCCGCCACTCACCCCTGATCAACAACACTCATCACCGAATACACTTCATCATCAATTACATCAGCGGGGAGTCCGTCCGCAGTCCGCACAGCCCTCGGAGCTATTTCTGAGTGGCTGGCTTCTGGCAGAAATTAATGAAGTG